CCTTACTTTTGCACCCATAAAATTCAGTTGACTGTTGTCTCCCGTACCCAAAGTGGCAAGGCACTAGCAGCAGAAGCTGCAAAGGGAGATGTGAACCTATCCCACGTCCCCAAGCCCTGGTCCTGCTACAGAACAGTGCCTCTGCATCTGCCCTGCTCACACCATCCCTCTGCCTTCGCAGCTGGAGCGCATTTGCTCTTTCACGGTGTCCCTGTAAGAGGTCCTATGCTGTGTTACTAAAATAACTGCTCTGCAGCCTCAGGCTTTTTCCATTCAGGAGCCTGCCACTTGCATGACTGCCCACAGGGCTTGTGTCTGAAATCAGCCCCATAGTTAGCTAGTAAATACATGCTAAGCAGATGATGCTCAGGAACGAAAGGGCATATCCAGGCCTTGAACCAGTGATACCTGCAGTCTAGAAAGGACTTAGTCACCTTCTCTGTAGCAGCTCTGAGCTACAAGCTCTTGCTTCTTCCCCCAGCAGAGGACTGGGCTCAGTGTTTCTGTTAATTGACTAAGTGCTCCTTGAAGTGTCTGTACTTCAGTATCCAGAATTTCCTAAATTTTGGCCAACTTTACATGGTTTGTGTTTTATGGCACCTAGAATCCTATAGCTAGCATGAACCTAATAACTTCAGTGTTTAACCATTTTCACATCTGCCTATAGCCGTTTGTACCTTTACTTCATTTACATCTGCTCTCAAGAGACTTAAACAAAGGACTGGCTCTCACTAGGAGTATACCTCTCTTAGTAAGAGAAAGAAACCAAAAGCGTTTCAATCACTGTTAGTGAATAAGAGATGTAGGCCCTTTGAATTGTCCACAATACTGATACAAAAAAAAAAAAAAAAAAGGAATCACAGTATCAGAAAATACTGTTACATAACAAAATCATGATGCCTTGTGGGGCCAAAAGGAACCTACAGGATTTTGGAAACCTCTCTGTCTTGCCTTGCTAACATCCATTCTTCTTAGCTGAATGCCATTTCAGTGGGAAGAGGGGATTAGGACAAAACCCAGCCCCAGGGTATGTCATGCCACAGTGCAAGCTGTGATGAGAGGGCCTGAATTCTCCACCTTCCCTCTCAACCTCCCCGAAGTGGGAACAGGTAAAAAAGAGGGCTGTGCTGGAAAGGACCCTACCTTCCAGCAATGAAGATATGCAATTCAGGGCTCTGCTGGTCATTAGTGCTCAAGGGAATGCACATCTGACCAGCCAATGCACATCCAGGTGAAATTTCTGGGAAGGACATTTTAGTGTTCTAGCTTGCAAGCTGCAGCCAGAGGCGACCCACTACCAAGCCTTCTTTCAAGTATTTTCATGTATTAACAAGAGTAATTTATGATTTGAGAAATGTTTGTTGACCTGAACCTTCCTTGTACTCTCTATGGTAACCTGTTCTGGCACAACTCTAACTTCTTTCGGCCAATAAATTTTCTTTTTCCTCATGCACATGTTAGTACAAATATAAAAGAGATAATATGTCAGAAAAGGCAACAACTCGCACAGGAACAAACTGCTAAAGTTTCCTGCTTTGGTGCTGGGCACAATAGATTCCTCTAAGCAGAACCAACTGCTACAAAACCGCACCCAAAAAAGTTTTCGTTTTCTTGTGAAGTTTTTGATAATCTTAGTAAAACAGGGAAGTTACCTTCTGCAAATCCTGCACAGTCTTAACAGTGCCAGTCATTTGAACAGCTGCAGAAGCAGGACACTGCTTGGAGTTTTTTGTTTTCCTGCAACGATCCAGAGATCTTACAATGGAAATAATTCCCTATGCTTCAATGAACTCTGCTACTTATGGTAGGAGCGTACTTTGCAGAAGAAACTTTTCCTGAAGGCAAAATATCCTAAAATGCCTGGAGACAAGATTTTACACTGTTCTTTGAAGTGGGCAATGGTGACCACTCATAGGAATGAACGGCCTTGATGACAAGTGGGAGAGCAAGACCAGAGACATGTAAAAAGACTACATTTCACTTTGATGGTCAAAGTGATAAAAAAACAGGCAAAATGTTTTATAGTGATCTTATATGGAAACTTCACATTCTTTGACAAATCCTCCCTCTCCCCCAAACTGCATCAAGCAAGATGAGTTGTTTTAAGCGCAGCTTTTTGTTTCTGGTCATTTTGAACGAAAGTAAGAGACGTTTTGGAATGAAAGGTGCAAGTTATACATATAATTAGGTATCAGTCTTGGGACTGAAGCAGTGCTGTCTTATCAGCCATGGTACAATGAAAATCTGTCAGCTGATTTGACAAGACTGTTCACAGAAAAGCAATGGTTCAGAATACATCTGTCTCAGTCCAAAGCTGCTGTTTGTCATTAATTGCTTATCAGCTATATTACATGTAACATGAGGTCACCAAAATCTAGAGAAGTATCTGATTAATCCAATGCCCAGTACTGCTAGCAGGACCATATCAAGTGTGGATAGATGCAAAAATCTTGAGCTGAACAGAGACTTCCTATACTTGTCATTAGGACCTACAGATGACTTCTTTTCTGCACAGTACTAAAAAAATGCCTCACAGTTTCCCTGTGATGCAGTGAAAGAAATGGAAAGGCTCAAGCACTGCCTTTAGGCTGAGATGCACAAATGTGGGTACAACGAACAATGGATGTGTGTTGGAGCAGTTTAGGTTTTGGTGCAAACATATACACGTACGTGGGCTCTGATTCAGGAATGAAAAGCAGCTGAAGTAAGTTTTCCAAATTGTTTCAAATCATTAAAACCACACTGACATTCAAATTACCATTGCTTTCCCTGAGAGAAAGGTACACGAACATTAAAAAAGTCCAATTGTGCACCCACTTACATCTGTATGTGCTTAAATAACCACATAAATAAGATTTAAGCTCAAGATGGGTAGATCTGGAGTCAATTGGATTTGGCTCCTAAGTGCTAAGTCTTTTGTGATAACTGAATGTGTACTCCCAAGCCACAAAGGTGCTTTTGAAAATTATACTCGCTGCAGAGGGTTACTTGTACCACGCAGGAAGAGGCCAAGCACTTTCATTAAGTAATGAGAAATCTATACAAGGATCTACCTTCTATAGATCTACCTTGTGTTCGTCTCGGGGTTTTATGCACTCTCTTATTACCACAGTTTTAGGCTGCTTTATAGAACACAAAACCAGCAACAGCCAGGGTGTTGCTCAAGAGGTGCCCGTATGCAGGGGGCCACAGCAGAGAGTCTGTTGCTGCTGCAAATTCTTTCTCTATTTATACTGGGAAACTTTATCCAGTAAGAAGGGTTTGCAGTATTCTGATCTGTGAACTCTAAGTGCTGACATTAGAGGCAAGTGAGTGATTTCCAGAGGTGAATGACGCGCAAGAAATAAGATGGCAGCCCTTCTTGATCAACTGAGCTACCTCTGCTCTGCATCATACACTAACACCACCATGATGAAGAATGTATGGGTCTGTCAGAAACCTGCTAAAATGTTTCCTCCACAAGACAGATAGGCAGAGCTAAACTCTGTGTGATGGACCATGCAAGATAGCCGGTGTGAAACATAGACCTGGCAATTTTAAATAGATTCTTGTCTAAGAACACATTATAATTTTCAGCCAATGCATTTTTAATAATATCTATAAAACTAAATAGAAACATTGGCTTGCAGACAAATGGCTTTTAAGAGTAATTATTGATCTCTTCTTGATATTCAGAGATGCTTCTTACAGATTTCACTTGTAGCATGTTTCTTAGGAGTAAAGTTCAGCCTCTGCACAGGGCTGGCATCAGTCATATAAGTCCTTCCCTGGGTGGTATTAAGGGATGTGAACAGCACACATATCTTGTGCTGGCCTTCTCCACAGCACGAAAATTTACCATCATACCTTCAGTGTCAACCACTGAACATATTATTCACACAAGCATCAAGCACCCTCACAACCACATGCTACTATCAATTTAGATATTCAGCAATAAAAAGTGAGTCATAAGTCATTAAGCATACACCAGCTGAGACTACACAGTGAAGTCAATGACTGGTTATTGATGTAAACCATACAACTACTTATGATGTTTTGGGTTCTTTTACCTATTCAAAAGGGAATGGTCTGTGCCTGAAAGTGTTCACAGTCTGACCAAAGTAATATTAATGTTATAGCAAAATTAACATATTGTTTATAAATTAATTACTAACATAGTGGCATTAATTTTATATATATATATATATATATATATCAGGATTCATCTGCACTAGTAAATCAGCAGTGAGAGGGCATGTTTCTGCCATGGCAACGCAGTGCTCCATTCTGAGAAGTATGGTCCCTGCGCCTGTCTGGTCCGGGCCAACAGCATCCTCTCAGCAACTCCCCATCGCAGCTGAGGAGCTAGCGCAGGCCAGGGAGCAGCCCCAAGAAGCAGTCTGCATTCAGTCATTCTGCTCTGGAAGGCAAGAGTTTAGTACTACCTACATAGG